TAAATTCCTTGGGCAGCCTTATAACCAGTATTTTGAACTCTGCTTCTGATAGATTGCATGCCTTTATTTTGTTTAGTTCATTTTCTGGAGGTTTATCCTGTTATTTCATTTGGGACATGTTTGTTTGCCTCCTCATTTTGGCTGCCTCTCTGTGTTTGTTTTTATGTATTAGATAGGTCTGCTGTGTCTCCCAATCTTGGCAGAAAAGCCTTATGTAGTAAATGTCCTATAGTGCCCAGTGTCACAGTCTCCCTGTTCATCTGAGCAGGGTGCTCCACAAGTGACCCTTGTGTGGTTTGTATATGCTTTCCTGTTGTAGTTGAACCTTGATTGCTGTTGGAATGTCAGTGGGTGGATTAACCCTTAGGCTGGCTGGCTATGAGGACTAACCTTGACCACCAAGGATACCTGTTGCTAAATAGCCCAAGATGTTGTGCAGGGGCTGACCCTATGGAGAGAGATTTGCTTTAGCAGAGTTCAGGTGCCTGCCAAGTTCATCTTTTGGGTGTATCATTTGTGGCACTTAATTGAATGGGGCTCTGGAGTGGTCTAAATTGACCACCAGGTGTCTTGGTTCTGGGGCCTCTGGGGAGGGGTTCTGGTTCAGGCCAAGGTCAGCCACTGCCTGTGTCTGGCTCAGGGTTACCTGGTATGAGTTACAAGGTGGTGTAGTTGCTAGGTGCTAGTTGCCTGTGCTGGGCTTAGGGGCACCTGGGAGTTGCTATGCTGTGATCTGAGGCCAGCTGCCACTAGTGCTGGGCTTGGGCACTATACCTCTTTAGCAAGAGGTATAGGGCATGCCCAGCCTAGCTGCTGCTTTTTGAGGTTTGTAGACGTTGGGGAGATTCTAGGAAAGTCCACAGTATGGGCCCAGGCTGGCCTCCTGTGTGGATTTGCCTCTGAAAGAGGTTCCAGCCAGGTGTGTGAATTGGGTGTGGTGGAGTCACACCTAATTCAGAGAATTACCAGGGTGGGAGAGAGTGGCATTAACTAGGCTAATGGAGACTCTCCTCTTTGTTGCCTGCCTGTGCTTGCAGGCTGTGTGTGGGGAGGGATCAACAATGAAACAATGGCACCTTCCATCTCATCAACCTGTGCCTCCTGGCTGTGTAGAGGGAGAGCTCAACAAAGGAACAATGGAGGCTGCCAGCATTTCAGCTCTGGAGAGAGTTGCCCCCTCCAGCCCTCTCCCTGAAGTCGGACAATTCAGTTCCTCCCAGTATGTCCTTGGTGCTTTTAGAGCTGCTGTTCATTCTCTGGAGCTCATGACCAGTGTTTGTGAGCAAGTGAGTCTGTGCTTGGGCCCTTTAAGAGAAAGCCTGGGTCTTCAGCAGACCTCCTCTCACCTGGACTGAGATCTTGTTGATTTTCACAGCCAGCTGTTGTGGGGACTTCTCTTCCCAGCACTGGTACTCTGAGCTGGGGAACCCAGTGTAGGCTTGGGACCCCTTGCTCTTCAGTGGGATCCTCCACAGCCAAGATGTCCCTCCAAATTCTTAACTGCCCCACATTGGTGTAGGACCAGCCCATTTTGTATCTCCACCCCTTCTACCTGACATAACATGGCTTCTTCTTTATATTCTTAGTTATAGGACTTCTGTTCAGCTCATTTTCAAGCAGTTCTCAAGAATGGTTGTTCTATAATTTGGTTGTAATTTTGATGTAGTTGTGAGAGAAGATGAGCACCATGTTTACTTACTCCACAATCTTGACTGGGAGTCCCCAGGATATCTTATTTTAAAAGCAGAAAAATGTATAATATAGTTTTTAAAGTTTTGTTGTAGCCACCAGCCCCGAATAGACACACGGACCACTAGAAAGCAGTGAGTTATAGGAAACACACTCTTTATTCAGCCAGCTGGGTCTGCCAGGGGTACCAAACCCCAAATTAAGCAGCTCTGAAATGTAGAGGTACAGGGTTTTTAAGCCCTAAACCCCTATTCTTCATCCTGTTTGAACACACAAGTCTATTTTTCTTCTTTTTACTAACTGTCAACCCACAGGTTGGTTGTGCAAGC